GATTGTTTCTAAAGCCTCCGGGTGATTGTAATGTGCTACCAGGGTTAAGCCCTATCTTCAGAGCACAAATAGGAACAATTTTTAAAAACAAAAATGCTTGCTTCATTAGTGACATGGCCCATATGAAATACGTTGGGCATATTCTCTGGCTTTTCTAAGTTTATTAGCTATACTATTATGATTTCTAAGGCATTGCATTTGTAAATGCCCAGTATGGACTTCCTGCCCAGCTTCAGTAAAAATTAGAAATCCACGCCCCCATGTGGCTAATCAGTAATATTGCACCTTTAACATCCGAACAGGTGGGAGCAAAATGTTAAGTGATGCCCCTCGCCTGGCTTTTCTTAGAGACACATGACCACAGTGTTAGTTGAGAGGACTGAAAACATGGCCAGAGATGTCTGCCCAGGTCTTCAAATAAAGTATCATAGCACATACATGAGATGATTTTTGCTTCACGTTGACTTTACTATAGACAGATCACAAGGTAGATGAACCCAATTAAAAGTAGATTGTGTGTTCTACAATAGATTTGCACACACAAAGAAGACATGAGTCCTCATTTTATCTTCTAACTCTCTCAGAGTTCTATTTAAAGGATGACGTAAAGCATCTTAATCCACTTCTCTAATCGTGTGGGGGACTTAAGCATATTGAGGACAGTGATAAGCAATAATCATGACTGTAGCATGTCTGGAACACTTGCCACAGACCAGGCAAGTGCCAGAAATCTGTGTGTCTCATTTCATTGACCCCTCACAGTCACGTCAGGTAACAGATGTTCTTATTTTACCATTCAGGGAGTAGACATTTCTAGGAGGTATGACTTGCCCAACCTAACAGGCAGTAATACCTCCAGAGTCATGTGATCCTGGGGTAGCAGGAGTTTTGTGTCTTCTGGAAAGCATTCATCTTGAATCCCTGTGCTTCAGTCATTCCACAAAGGAACAGAAAACAGCCCAGGCCTTTTCATGTCAAAGGTCACTCCGCAGAGCTGCCTCCCTGCAGCCTGCTGGGTAGGTAGCTTTCAGGTGTTCTCCACAGAACTTCCAATAACAGACTCACTGTGTGCACACATGCACATGAAGCCAGCTGATTGGGACCTGGTTAAGTACCTGAGCTCTATACATGACACTCTGGGAGAGCCAAAGCAATCTTCCTCTCTGGCTATTACTTACCTTATCTATAAAAGAGAGTATCATTGCCAAATTGCTTGATAGTACCCACCCTGGGATAGTTCGGCTGAGTTTGCAAAAGAAATGGAAAGGTGGATTTTGACTTTTGTTCATATGAACCAGCTATGGCAACAGGGCTAGCTTCTTGGAAATCCATCATAATTTGCTAAGTAGGTATTTATATTGCCTTCCTTATTTAGATTGCATTCTCAGTGTCTCACCCAAGGCCTGGCTAATTGCACATGCTTCATAGAGGGGTAGGAAAGGATGGATGGAGGTATGAATGAGATACAGATGGACCATGGGATGGGCTGGAGAGGTGGATAGGGTTGTAGAAGGCCAGTAGATGGGATGGAATGGATGAGTGACTAGGATGGGAGAGATGGATGTCATTCAGCCGTTCTTAAGTTGGAGCAAACCCAGTAATCCTAGAGCGAGGTTATCTGTTCATGTAAGAGTCCACTGTTATGTATAACCACCTAATCAAAGCTGGTTAAGGCTTCAGTCCTTTACCACTAGTATAATAGGTCTTCAAAAGATTCATAGGAAAGTGTATATTTTGAGAAAACTGTATGTGAACGTTAAATTTGATTTGCACCCATATAAACTTGAATTCCATTTTCCATGAACTTTTTGAAGTCCTTTGATCTATTGCATGGAATTCTCTCGAGTCACTCTACCATGTGAGAGACTGACGTAAATGACTCTAGTTTTTTTCAGATGTAGTCAAGCACCACAAGCAGGTAGGATTATAAACCACGACACTGAACAGAAGTGAAGAGCCCAGAGGAAATGTCTTGGTTTGTAGGAAATATACTGAGGTTAGACTCAGGATACCTCAATTCCAAACCTGTATCATCTACCTCAGAAAGTCTCCAGACCTCAGCTCTCTTGTCCAGTTCATGTAGTTATCATTTTAGGGTGCCGGGGTTGTCAGGCCAAGGAGAGTCAAAGGGGTTTGTAGCCTGAAGACTCTGCTAGGCATCCTCTGTCATTTCCCCATCACCAGGCCCTGTGCTGGAGATTATGTATGCGTTAATGACCTCACTGAGTCACAACAGCCCTTTGTGATAAGAAATAGTAGAGTTAAGGGAACTGTGACTTAGGGAGGTCGGGTGTCTTGCTCAGGGCCCTGAACCAGGAGCACATCCTGGGACATGCATACAGAACACTGGCACTCTGGAGTGCATGCTCCATTCCACTTCAGGCCAAGACCTTCCCTATTCCTCGTTCCTCAGCTCATTATTACACAGCTATGTGAGTCACAACCATTCCCCACGTATGCCCATTGAACAGGGCATGAGGGAGAGTGCAGGTAGGGAACCTGCCGCTAAGACAGAATTAGCCTAGAACATGGAAATTAGCAAGATGGCCTTGTTATACTGCATCTACGTAAATGAATTTTAAAAGAGTGCCACGTTCCCAGATACCCAAGCATTTTTCCAAACAGCATGTTCAAAACCTGCCCTAAGCTGTAGATTGACTCTGCATATCCAGGAATTATACCACTGCTCATGGCTACTTAATTCATCAAAGCACTGCTTCACTCACTTGCACCTGCTGGCCTGAGAAATGCATGCCTAGCTCTTGTGTTGCAAGCTTCAGGCCTCCCATGGGGTGCAGGAAGGGGCTGTGGGAAGTGAGCTCTGAAACAGCCCCCCACTGTGCTGCAGGTAAGTAGTCTGAGATCTGAGCTGGCCAGTTGCCTCAGGGCCTGCTCACTTCCCAAAGAGCAGAGCTCTGGTCATCCTGTATATGCCAGCAGGCAGAGGACTGCCCATGGGAGGCAAAATGAGCTGGGCTTTGGGAGCACGGGACTCTCCTCCTGGCCATGTGTCAGTTTCTTCGGGAAGCTGTCACAAAATACCACAAACTGGGTGGCTTGAATAAAACTTCATTGTCTCAGTTCTGGAGGCTACAAGTCCAAGACTGAGGTAATGGCAGGGTTTGTTCCTTGTAGGGGCTCTGAAGGACAATCCATTCCATGCCTCTCCTGTGGCTTCTAGTCATTTGCTGTCAATCTTTAGTGTTCTTTGGCTTCCGTAGTGTCACCCTGGTCTCTCACCCCGATCTCTGCCTTCATCTTCTCATGGCATCCTCCATAAATATGTGTCCAAATTCCACTTTGTATAAGGACATCAATCATATTGGATTGGGGGCCCACTCTGCTCTAGTAGAAGGGGACTTCAAACCTTCATGGAACATGGAATTTAAGTATGAGTTTATTTGGGTGCAAAAAAATTGAAATTTATGTATAACTTGTCATCATATGTTTTCTCCATGAACTTTTTAAATGCTTCTTGTAATCTCAACTAATGATACCTGCAACGATCTTATTTCCAATTAACTCATGTTCCAAGGCACTGGGTTTAAGACTTCAACATATGCATCCGGGAGGGGTAGACGCAGCTCACCCTATACTATTAGGTTGCTGGGAAAGTCATGACATGTTTTTCTATGCAGAAATGTGTTATGACTTTCCCAACAACGCAATAATTCATGAATGCTTTCTGAGTGTCTCTGTGTGAGATACCAAGAAGTGACGGGTTCCCAGATGGCACACCCTCTGTCATGTGCACTACTAGTCCCTTTCAAGCAAGCCTAGAAGACCATCATGTGAGTAGGACACACGGTAAATGCTGCCTGGTTCCAGAGGACTGCAGCATCTGTGGAGAGAGAAGAGGAGTTTCATGGAATGCTTGGTGTCCATCCTGGTAGGATTCAACAAGTGAAAGTAGGAGAAGGGGCTTTGCAGCAGAGAGGAGTAGTAAGAGAAACCACATGGCCAGAAAGGGTCTGAGATGACTTGAAGGTGACACACTACCCAACTGTCTGTCTATAGTCTGTGTAGTACTGGTTACCTGTCACACCAGCAGCATACCTGTCCCAAGATGAAGGGTTTCTGAGCCAGGGGAATTCACACTAACCTGAGCATCAAACTGTCCCACTCCACCAGCTGCACATGCCCTCCCTCTCACCCTCCCTCTTGGCCCACACCACCTGCCACTTTTGCACAGACCTTAATAGTCTACACACAGTCCTCAGCAGCAAGGTGAGCACGGTGTCTGGTTTTCCTAGCACACAGGGCCAGGAAGAATTACTCCCGACCCTGTCACCTTTTACTTTACCCATTTTTCTTTAGCAAAAACTGATTTGGGGAAAATCCCCTGGAGCACACATGCAGTGCTCTCTATGATGGCGTTGGGACCCTCCAGGATTGACAGAGGGTCCTTCTCTGTTGGCTGTTCATTGAGGCTCCAGGTGGAGATGTTCACTGTGCCTGGCATGTTTCCCATCCTGGCTTCCCATCTCTATGAGGTCAGCTCCAGGCCCCACTCATGACTGACCACATCCGCCCCCTCCCCCAACCTGGCTGTGCTCCTTTGAAGACTCAGAATATCAGCGGTGATAAAGCCTGGCTGTGTGAGTCCCATTGCCTGAGCCTGAGAGAGATTTATAAGGTGTGAACATGGATCCTTTGAAGGAAGCACAAATCATGTCTGAATTTTAGAGTCTGCCTCCTAGCAAGGCACTGATAAAAGGGCCTGGGTACTTGTTTATTTTAACACATGAAAGAGGAAGACCAAAGTCTTCATGGCATGCATAAATACAAACAGCTGAGCCCAAAGCACAGCAAGGGCCTCTCCTATTCCCCTCCTGTCTTCCCTGACCTCAGCATGCAGGGAACCTGAGAACTGTAAAATTGCCAACATCTACTCCTGACACGCTCTGCTCTCAGCTGCCCTGCCCCCAGTCCGCCATCCTTGTGCCGTCTCTGGGTTCCCTCCAGCCTCCCAAATAGAACTGAGCCATCTCCCTTCCCAGGGCATGAGGAGAAGTCTGAGAATGCAGTGAAAGCAGGAACTTGCTGTGCCACATGCAAGGAATTCCACCAGATGAAGCAGACGGTGCTGCAACTGAAGCAGAAGGTGCGTGCAAAGTACGGTGGGGGTGTGGGATGAAGGAGGGTGGGATGCCATGCAGGACAGCAAATACATCATCCATGTTGAGCGGTCGAGGTGGCTGATACCAGCCAGGTCTTGACTGGGGATACTTGCCCACCCACCTTCTGAGCTGACCATCTAAAAGGCAATAAAACACAGTAGAGGCAAGGGATTGAGGAGGTGATGGTTACAGTAGATGCTAGCGTAAGGCGCATGTGGTGATGTCATGTTGAAGGTGACTATGACAACCTATATAATGGACATCCAGACACACGGCCCTGGGGCCGACCTCGTGAATCTGTTTTACCAGGTATTTTATCTGTAGAGAACATCCTCTGTATAAGCTTCCATGAACAGGGGATGAATGTCAACAGTGATTTTGGATATTCCAGCATCTGCATGGGCTCTGTGCACTTAGGAAAGCAGCTGCTTGGGTACCTCGTGTCACCAAGGGAGCAGACTGGCTCTCTATGTAAAAGCCTTTCCAGATGCCTGGCAGGGTTTAGGCCTAGCAGATGCTGCGCGTAATGCCTCTGTGATGGATCTAACTTCCTGAATGACTCCTGGACCCAGGGAGACCATGTCTATCTTACCTCAGCTCAGTCGATCTGCTAGTTGGTCAGGGACTCAGTAATTGCTTTTAGGCTGATAAAAGAGAAACTTGCTAGTTTGTTGATTTAATTGCTTCCACTCAAGGCTCTTAATACATCAAAGAGTTGTATATAACCTGTTTAACTTTGATATCCAGTTATTCTAAAGGGCAAAAGGGTAAGCTTGAGACAATCTCTCTCTTCATGTTCACCAACAGCCGGCAGCCAACAGGCCAAGAAGAGAAATGGCTTTGCAGGCCTTTTGTAAATCATTGGAGATGTGATCAACTTCAGTTGAAGCAAATATATATATATTTTTTAATGTACAATCTTGAGTAAAATACTAAGTGACTTCAAAAAGTCTGGGAAAATTGAATTAAAGTACTAGTTTATTTTGCTTCAGAAAATATTTTAAGCAACTGGCAGGTGGCTCAATGGTTAAGGTGCTAGACTCCCACATGGCTGACCGTGGTTCATGTCCTAGACCTAGTGGCTTGCTTGCTTTCTCTCTCTCTCTCTCTCTGGTCAAGTTAATAATTAATAATAGGGACCAGCCCATGGCATAATGTTTGCATTGCTGGACTCCCACATAGTCTACCATGGTTAGAGTCCTGGACCCGGCGGCTTAAAACTCATGCTGGGTATGTGTGCATGTGTGCCCAAGATCCTGAGAGGAGACTGGAGGAGAAGGGATTGCAGCATGGCTATCCTTCCTGGGGCATGATTCCTCACTTTCTGTCTCTAGTGAGTGCATGTGCCCTATAGCAAAAATCTCTCTCAATAATAATAACAATAAAGAAACAAATCTTTTTAAAAATATTTTAACTCTACACATAGCTTCTTTATAATGTGCATTTTCCCTGAACTTTTTGAGGACCCTGCATACTTCTGACCATAACTGGCTTGTCATCTCATAGTAAAGCCAGGTAGAAAACACTGAGTGTATGCCTGTATAAACAGCCCACGCAAATATCCGCAATTCGAGCTTAGATGACCTTTTCATAGATATCAGTGAATAAAGTTCATGGAAGAAGTTTGCATTTCATGGACTTAGAAAACTAGGGCAACTGATCAGTGTCTCAAGGCATACCCCTGAAACATAAAGCTACCCCCACTTTCCTTCCCTGGAAATCATCCACAAACCATAGGAAATGTCTTTCTGCAGGATGATCTTAGAAACAGTGGAGCTAAATATTGGGAATTGTTTAGGAATTCAGTTCCTAAGTTGATGTCTGGCTTTTCCTTAATCTTCCCACAATTTTTTTTGATCTATTGAATGAGAAATATTAGTGAGAAGTTGAAAAGTGTCTGTAAATATTTATAACCCCGAAGACACTATTGTAGAGCTTCATAAAACCTATGAAGTTTCCTTAGCACTCTAACAACTCAGCAATTGGGTTGAACTCGCACTGGTCCACCTCACGCTGAGTCCTACCTGCAGGTGCATGGCAGTAATTCTGAGCTACAGCTGACATCTGAGAAAAGTCTGGAGAGGAATTCACTTTTAAAGGTACCTCTTAGAATGTGCTGCATTCTACCATTTATAAAGCAGTTTTATATCCAGAATCTCTTTTAATTATTACCATAACCCTGTAAGAATAACGTTGATATTCTCAGAGAGAGAAAGGAACTGCCAGACCTAAAACCAAGATCTTCTCACTTCTGTGGTAGAGTTTGGTTTGTTGGTTGGTTTTTAGCACTGTCTTACTACTGCTAATGCCATCTGTTCAAAGAAGAATATAGAATAACTCCCAAAAAACACTGGCCAAGATGCAGGTATGGGGTGCTCTGGGCCCTGGCCAACCCCGCATGAGAGTGCTGTCAGCAAGGTGCCCCCCGTGGGAAGTGCTTCAGGTCAGGTGCCCTCCGCTCTTTAATGGGTACATTGTAAAGAAAAGAGCGGTCAAGCAGGAATCCACAGAATTCAAGAAACTTAAACGATCTATCATTGCTTAAATGGGCAGCACTAAAGCACACTGTCTAGCCATCCACAGCTGGGTGATTATTTATTATTACCATTATTTTTTTGTAGAGGTTTTTGCCGTAGGGTGCATGCACTCACAAGATAGAGAGAGATAGAGACAGTGAGAGGAAAACTGAAAAACCACCCCCCAGGGGGATGGCCACATCACAATCCCTCCCCCTCATCCTCCTTCGGATCTTGGGTGTGTACACACACGCTCCTGGTGTGAGTTTCAAGCCACTAGGTCTGGGACTCTAACTGTGGTCAGCTATGTGGGAGTCCAGCGACTTAATTGCTATACCATCTATTGGTCTCAGGGTGATTATTTTTTTAAACACAGGAAGTGAACGATTTATATGAAAAGCAAGATAGTTGTTACTTTTAGAGGGAGGGAGGAGATGGGATAGGTCTGGGGTGGCTTCCAAAATTCTGTTTGTTAGCTTGCACGTTCATTAAAAGGGTGCTTGCTTTATAATAATTTGCTAAGGTATATATTTGTTTCATGAGATTTCTAGATTCTGTGCTTTATTTTCCACTAAAACGTTTTTGAAGGATCCAGCAGATCACATAATAGTTACCTAGCTGGACTCCCATGTAGTCAACCATGGTTGGAGTCCCAGAACCTCTGGCTTGAAACTCATGTCAGGCATGTGTGTGTGCATGCCCAAGATCCAGAGAGGAGAATGGCAGAAAAGGGATTAGAGTGTAGCCATTACCCCTGGGGGGTAATTTCTTACTTTCTGTCTCTCACACACCAGAGAGATGGGCCCAAGATCCAGAGAGGAGAATGGCAGAAAAGGGATTAGAGTGTAGCCATTACCCCTGGGGGGTAATTTCTTACTTTCTGTCTCTCACACACCAGAGAGATGGAGCAAAAATTTCTCTCAAAAAAAAAAAAGTTTTTGGAAATGGTGCATAAACCCCAGTGCTGCCTTCCACCATCCCACTTCCACCAACCCCCTTGCAGCATGAGGAAGAAAAACAGGTTATTCAGTAAGAAAGGGATAGAGTTTGAAGATAGATAAAATACTTATGATTTAGCTTTTAGTTGGGTCTCAGTCTTATCCAATTACTGAAGAAAACTGGGGCTAAGGGCCAGGGATTTTTTTTTTTTTTTTGAGAGGTTTTCGCTATAGGGCGCGTGCGCTTGCCAGACAGACAGACAGAGAGACATAGACACAGAAAGCGAGAAATCACCCCCCAGGGGGGATGGTCACGCCACAATCCCTTCTCCTCCATTCTCCTCTCGGGATCTTGGGCATGCATGCACACGCGCCTGGCATGAGTTTTAAGCTACCGGGTCCTGGACGCGAACCGCAGTCGACTACGTGGGAGTCCAGCGACATAGCCATTACACTAACTGCTGGTTCCCTGGGCCAGGGATTTTTTTAGAAGTCACTGTGTTCCAGCTGCAGGAACCATTTCATTAAGAGTGGGATTGCAGCAGAGTCCCGGGGTGTGTGGGGAGGGTAGGGAGAAGAACCTCTCCCCACAGTGGGCAGTTGAAATTGTGAATAATGACTCAGGAAGCATTTCCCATGCCCTCTGGTGGGCTGGGAGATGAGGAAATGCACAGCAGTGTGGACAAAGTCCAGCCTTAAAGAAGCTTCCTGTCTTGTGGGGAATCTAAGTCCACAGTGCACGGGGTGGATGTGAGCAGATTTGCAGCCCTGGGGCTGTGCTTGCTCACTCTAGTGCAGCCTTCAGTGTCAGGCAAACGCACAGCTTCTCAATAGTTTGTGGGTTCCTTGTTTAAGAAGGATTATGGAAGATTAAGTCACATTAAAGTGACTGTAGATTGCTTTGCCAAGTATCAGTGCAGTACTGAGAGGTTGCTTGGTGTAGTGATTAGGAGCACAGATTCTGGGTGCTGATTGGCTGAGTTTAAATTTGACCACTACCACTTACTGGCTGTGGGAGCCTGGGCAAGTTACGTAACTTCTCTGTGCCTCAGTTCTATCAAATGCAGATAATAATATTTACTAGAATTTAAAAATTTTCATGTTTGTTAAATGGGTTATATTTATAAAGGCCCTAGAACAGTGCCTGATACCTAGAAAGAGCTTTGTAAGTGTTTTTGCCAAATAATTCATAATTATTAGCACATATTAAAACACTTCATAGGCAGCATCTAATCTCATCCCAGCAGCTCAGTGAGGAGTGCTCCACTATGAAAGGTCCTTTGAGATAAATGAAACTCATAATTCCCTTGATTGGAACCCAGGAGAAATGTAGGTCCTTCTTACATTCCTACAACCCTCTTCCCAAACACTCAATATCCAACAGTACCTACTGTACTTGTGCAGAAAGACAAAGCAGGGATTTTTTTTTTAACATCTAATCACCATGTATCATTATAGTATAGCAAATGAATTTCCCATCAATGAATATATTGTGTATCATTCCAGTCAAAGACATTACCATATACATTATAATCAACATATTCTTTTCTATTTCGAGTCCCTTTAAAGTTTTGCTGCTTTCTTCTTCCTCTTGATTCCTTCTCCCTCACCCTCCAAATAGGGAATATTCATTGCTAAATGAAGCGAGCCAGATGATGAAAGAGAGGCATTGTATGTCCCCACTCAGTATATACCACATATGGGCACTTCATGGCAAGCTAGAGATTCCACACAGCTGCTTCTAACCCACCAGTGCCTTCACTGTCCTCTCATCCTACTGACACGCAGAGGAACCAAAAGGAGCCAGAATGTAATTAGCCCCTGGAGGTCAGCCAGGAGACTGAAGTCAAGCTTTACTGCTTCATCTCATAACTCTGACAAGGGAGCAAGCGAGCAAAGAGGGCTGGGAAGAGCCTCCTGGAAGCCTCTCCCATGGAGATCTCATCCTCTAGTCCTGCTTACAAAACTCTAAATGCAGAGATGGGATCATCTGGTCCAAATCTCTAGTTTTGCAGCTGTGATGAGACAAACCTGGAGGGTGAAGGGACTTACCAAAGTCACTCAGCTACTTAAGCACAGAGCCAGGAGCAGCACCCGGGCAGAGTGTTTCCATTCCATTGTGTCAGTGACTGACAGGACACTGGCCAGGCATGTTACAGACTTAACACTTTAACCCTCCAGCAGCTCTTTCTTATTGGTAGGTATTACTGTCCCCACTTACAGATGAGGAAATGCAGGTCTTGTAGTTTACCCAGAATCCCACAAATAGAATGCAGCAGAGCCAAGGTTGAAATGTGAGTCTGCCTAATGAGTTGATTCAGTCTCCTGAAGTTGGAAAAGATCACATTTCAGTTTCTCTCTGTCCTTGGTTCACTTCCCTCTCACCCTAAGCTCTCACACATCCATTTCAGGTTGAGGTAGTCTCTCACTGTGACACAGTGACCCCAGCACCATTTTAAATAAGCCCCAGGAACATGGGAGTCTCCTAGTGGTGACTTGAACCATGAACTCTGACCAGGATTGTGCAGAGCTGACTTTCAGATCACGGGATGTGCGTGTGATTCTCATGGTCACCCCTACTGGTTGCTGTTTGGTGATCACTGAGAAGTAGAACTGGTGACATTCCTGGCAGGGTGCCATTTCTCATGCCTCTCAAGAAACACTGGGTCTTTCAAAGCATGGAGGAAGGCCTTCTGTCAGAAGGTGGTCAGGATTCTGAGGATTTTCATACTAAACAGCTCCTCAACTTTCTAGGAGTGGATGCTCGGAAGGCCTAAGGATATTGAGAGGACCCTTTAGAACACTGTTTTCTGCCCCTCCAAGCATTCCCCACACCCTAAGCTAGGTGTGTTTTAGAAGGCTTGATTTCTATTGGAACTTCAAGTGAGGGGAAAAAAATTATATCCCAGGACCAGCAGTTACACCATTGGCATAATGGCTGTGTCACTAGTCTCCCATGTAGTCAACCGTGATTCGAGTTCCAGACCCAGTGGTTTAAACTCACACCGGGTGCGTGTGCGTGCGTGCCCAAGATCCCGAGAAGAGAATGGAGGAGAAGGGATTGTGGCATGGCCATCCCCCCTGGGGGGTGATTTCTCGCCTTCTGTCTCTCTGTCTCTCTCTGTCTTTCTGGCAAGCACAAGAGCCCTATAGCAAAAACCTCTCCAAAAACAATTATTTAGATATAGATATATAGATAGATATAGATATCCCAAGTGCTCCATTAAGGGACCAACTGGCTACAGGCCTAGCACAGGCACCTTATGAAGGAGCTGGAAGATTTCATTCTCCATGAGACATATCAGGTGAAGGTGTTTGCCAAAGCATAAACCATGTGTTATCGCAATATTTGCTTTTATTGGGTCATCAGGAAAGTCATGACTTACTTTTGCATAGAAAACCGTAGAACGCATCATGACTTCTCTGACAGCCCAACATTAGTATTAGATTTCTCAGCAAGAACACCTGCCTCTGTGACGAAGAAAAATCATCAGCTCCTAAAGGCTGTATCACAAGAGCCCCAAGCCCAGCAGCTTCCCAGCAGGAGAACAGGATCTTTGCCAGAGGTTTCCTTCAGAATCAGGTCCCATTATGGGAGTGCTAGATGTAGTCATTGCCAAACCTCCACTGAGAAATAGATGCTGGTGTGGGAGATCAAGGGCCTGCTGAGCTAGACAGGATCGTCCTGGACAGCAGCTCTCCAAGTTCCCCTGCAGTAGGCCATGGCCTGTATTTTTGCTGTAATTTTGGATATGGATTCTGCCTCCTAGGGAAGACTTTCCATAGTATCCCCTCTCCCCAGGCTTGGGTAATTGAGGATCTCAAGACCATTGGTTACTCCATTTCCTTGGTGTGTTACTATCAAGCTGGTTGCCCTAGTCCTTCTAGGGAGTTTCTTGAGTATTAAAGACATAGGCAGGCCCTGAAATCCCCCAGATTATTTGTGTAGCATCACCAAGGGTGCCTCACCCTGCATCAGAACTTGCCTGGGAATCTGTAGTTTCTTGAGAAAAGGAGGAAATTCTTAAGAAAACAAGAGATAAATATTTTCCCATGCAGATGGGAAGAAAAGAAAACTCCATGGTTCAAGTCAACATCAGCCCTATTTCTTTCTCCTAGAAGTTGTAACTCAGAGTTAATACAAGCCTCAGAAGAAGAACCTTGCACAATTCTTAATTTAATGCTCCATGCTGGTTTCAAACTCACAGGTCACATGTTTTCATAGTAGCAGTTGACACTTCCATCAGGCACAGATTGTGGGCACCACTCCCCAAAGCTCAGGATCAAAGATGAGTTTAAGCCTGGGTTCACTCCGAGGGGGAGGGGTGGGACCTGCATGTGCCTTCTCCAAGCCTGTGTGCCCAAGGTCCTGGACAAGCAAGACCTTATTCAGAAGGACAGGTGGGAGGGGGTGGGGGGGACAATTGTAACATGTTTCAGAAGTTGGAGAGATGTTTGATTTCTGGGGGGCTCCAGGACACACAGTAAGTCCTCTGTGGGTAGGTCTGACCACGGAAATGCACCCTTCTCCACTTGATTAGCTTCGCAGCAGGAAGAAACCAGAACTACCAGTTATCATGCACTCACTGTGTTCCAGGCTCTGCGCTGGGCCCCTGACAGATGTTTCCCCATTTAATTCTCACATCCCTGAAAAGGGTGTTATTGTTCCCTTTACCAGTGAGGAAACAAGTTTGTAGCATTTAGTGCTCACCAAAACTTCACAGATTCGCAAGTAAGTAAACCTGACTTCAAGGAATGTGAAAGTCAGTCATGCATCCATCTGGTCCTTTGGCTTTCCCCGGGATGAGTTATCTGAGAACAAGTGAGGTGGAACCCTCAATGCCCGTTAGTCCCCATCTCAGAGGTTACCCACTAGCACTTCTGTCATTTCTACTCATTAGAAGCAAGCCACCGAGTTCAGGCCACACTCAGGGGAAGGGAAATTAGCTCCCACCTTTGAAGGGAGGAGAATCAAGGAATTAGTGGACATGTTTGTTTGTTCATTTCTCCCCTGAGAGAGAAACAGGCACCCCTAACAGTCCTCAGCCATTATCCACCCCAGCCAGCCCCAGATCACAAGCACAAATGCACGTGATGTGTACAAGGAAGTCCCTGATGCGAACTGGGGACCTTCCCTTGAGGGGCCAGTCGAGTTACTGCTGCACCACCATCTGGTCCTGGACACATTCTAAAATCACTACGGCCAGTGTTGCCCAGTTATCCCGAAGCTCAGCCTTGTGTGTGCAGGTGACCTGTCAGCCATGTGCTGGGTCTTGGCTCTTGAGGTTGCACTTCTCTAAGGGCAGGGATCATGTCTCGGTCACCTTGTAGCCCCAGAACCAAGCACAGACCTGGCACATAGGAGATGTTCAAGAAATGCGGGAGACATGAAGTAGTTCATTAACAAACTGAGGCTACGAAGCAGGTAGAATCTGTTTCTTAGAGCAGTAGTTCTCATGGTAACCTAGGCAACCTGGAGCCGATTTAGGTTCACTTACTAACTAGGTGAGTGATCTCCTGTGACTTGTCTTCACTAAAAGGTTTTAAAGGAAATTCTCTACATTCCTCTGAACTCTAACTAGCTCTGGTTAAAGGAAGCATAAGATGGAACTGCTGTGCAACCTCTGCAAACAGTGGAAATGCGGAGGGGCTCCTTGCTGACCGAGGTTTTCTCTTTCGTCTTCACTAAAAGGTTTTAAAGGAAATTCTCTACATTCCTCTGAACTCTAACTAGCTCTGGTTAAAGGAAGCATAAGATGGAACTGCTGTGCAACCTCTGCAAACAGTGGAAATGCGGAGGGGCTCCTTGCTGACCGAGGTTTTCTCCTTCCCTTGCAGATTGCCCTGCTCCCCAACAATGCTGTTGATCTGGGCAAGTACATCACTGGCGGCAAGGTGCTGGCCTCAAATGCCTACCTTCCTGGACCGCCTGGCCTACCAGGGGGCCAGGGCCCTCCTGGTGAGTGTGGAAAGGGTGCAGAGGGCGACGAGGCTGACCGGTGTCTTCTGGCGCCCACTAGTGCAAACGAAAGCATGAGTCCAGGGAAACTGCCACACACCTGGGCAAGAAGGCTTGGAAATTAGACCCTCGAGACTTGGGAAACCCTCCTAACTGGTAATTGTTTGGGAGAAAAATATCATCATAGGTTAAGGTTAGATTCCAGAAGATCATTTTAAATTATTGAGAAAAAAAAATGAAAACTGGCACCAGCAAGTGGCATAGTAGTTAGGGTACTGGACTCACAGTTCAAATCCCAGACCTGGCAGCATGAAACTCATGCCAGGAGTATGTGTGTGCATGCCCAAAATCCTGAAAGGAGAGTGGAGGAGAAGAGATTGTATCCCTCTTGGGGGCTGACTTCTCATTTTCTGTCTGCCTGTGTCTGTCTGTCTGTCTCTCTCTCTCTGTCTCTCTCTGGTGAGCACATGCATACTTTAGCAAAATTTTCTCTCAAAAAAAAAAAAAAAAGAAAGAAAACCACCTTTTAGTTTTATTCTGGAAATATTTTAACATATATAAACATAGGATAGTATAAAGAATTCCTATCAACTCATTGCCCAGTTCTAAAACTCGTGACAGTCTCGTTTCTACTATTCCCCAATCCTCTTTCCACTTTCTCTTATTAACGTTAGTACGTTTACATTTATATCTGTAGTTTTTCTCAACATATATTTACTTATCTATGTGTTTGTTGTGATTTTCAAGTCACCAGGTCCAGGACTCAAACTGTGGTCCCCCATATAGGAATCCAGTGCCCTAACCACCACACCACCTGCTGGCCCCCTCCTGGTATTTATTAATAGATAAAAACATCAG